AAATATAGAAACTAAAAACCATTTTTTTACTTATTTTCAAATGACATTGTCGTTGAGTAGAGAGAGATGAGTGAGAGAGAGAGAATGTAAATATAGAAACTAAAAACCATTTTTATTTATTTTCAAATGACACAATCATTGAATAGAGAGAGGAGAGAGAGAGAGATTGAAAACCCTTTTTTCTATTTTCAAATCACCCAACATTAAAGGGCAATTTCAGTATAAGCTTTTTGTTAAGTCCCATGTTCCCATGTTGGCAACAGACACATAATCCTCCAATGACATAGCCAGTGTTTTTTAATTTGAAATGTAAATCTGGTTGTCAGAACTTTATTGGTTTATGGACTAACCTGTAGCATAAATTTAAATGTACAACTGGCTCTGACTAGCTATAATTTTCCCCAAAAAAAAAAGATTAATTTGAAACCTATCTCAAATCACAATTCAAACACCTAGAAGCACTTGTAGTTGATACCTGAAAAAATAAAAGTCCCAACGGGCTCAATTGATAAGGCCTCTAGCTGGTGGTGGGAGAGACTTGGGATCAAATCCTCCTTTCACTATAGTTAGGGTTATGGGTATTAAGGAACCTGTTGACTCTGGATTTTTTTTTTTTGACAGTTTGACACAACAGGATGCCATTGAGAGGCAAAATAATACATTACCAAAAGTTTCATGATTAATCTAAAACTGCCTTCAGGGTTCCATCTTTTAGAATTGCTTTGAGAGGTAAAATAAGACAGAATACAAATTAGTCTTATTGCTTTCCTTTTAGAAATGGATGACTTTATCCTTACTTTATTAAAAGTTTCTTTTATAAATATAGGAAAAATCACTGATAGGGTGCTTTTCTAAAGTTTCTCCTACAATAAAAATATGATACAAAATCTTTGCAAAAGTTTTTCTCCAACTAAAATTTGTGCCCACTGGATACTCTTTATATTCAACTTCCACCCAATTACTCCTAAAATGGCTTTTTGGTTTTAGACATACAGTAGCATTCTTTTGATTGTTATTATCAGAGTTTATTGGACAAAATATAATTCTAAAAGACTAATATAACAGGGAAAAAGAATATAAATAAGCATTTTTTTGTTATTATTTATAATTAATAAAATATTTAACATATGACGAGATTTGTACTAGATTTAGGACTTAATTAATAGGCATAATTTTATAAATATAGAAAATTAATGTGAAAGAGTTTTTGGAAATGTACATTTTGTCATTGAATAAAGTTATGGAGCATTAGCAAGAAAGGGGCATGATAGAATAATATATTTAATCTATTTTAAATATATTTAAGGAAAAATTAGTCAGTAAGGGTTCATTATTTGTAATTGAATAGGAGCATGGGGACCACCTCTCTCATGGTCACTGACCCAAAAAAAGATGTGTATCTTACAAACTTCAGTGTCATGAGGTCTTTGGATGTATTGAAAAGTCTGAATGGATTCTGATTTCTCATCCTCTGATTTTCCTTCTCTTTTGGAATGGTTAATTATAGCCTTCTATTTTATTTGGCAACCCAGAAATGATAAATTTTTAATTATAATCCAGATCTATTGATTGGGTCTTAAGCTCTACAGCTAATATGTTTATCACTGTAATTCTCTTGCTATTAAGCCAATGAGTATAATGTGAACACTTTGTCTGAACTGAATTCTCTCGATGTTGGCTTTATTATCATGTGTGATGGTTTCTAACTAAAATAACTTATGGTATCTGTGTGACAAATCTACAAATTTTGTTTTGGCTGCAGGTGGTGTTTTGGGTATTTATTTTGACTCTGTTGAGGCAGAACTAGGCGCTATATGGAAAGCTGTGAACCTCGCTATGGAGCATGGCCGGAACTCTCTGTGTCTGTTCGGATGCTATAAGAATGCGATTCTTGCTTTATACAATTCCCTGAAGTCTCACTTTCACAGAAACCTTCCTGCAATATTTAAAAAAAACTGAAGTTATTTTCTTTTTAAATACCTGCAGTTAATTTCCTTTTATTATTGTCTTAGACGGAAAACATTATAAGGGTGCAACTTGGGTGGATCTAATCTGAGCCTGAATTGATCGAGTCCAAAATTTTACATGAATTGAGATTGGATCCAACAATTTGGGCTTTTTTTTTTATTTTTTGGTTGGGCCCAGGCCTAGCCCTTAGGTAGCCCAAACCTGGTCCAACTATACACTAATACACATTCATACATATATATGTATATATGTAAATTTTTGCATATATATATACACACATGTATTATTTCATAGCAAGTTCATTGACCAACCCGAGCCCGGCTTGAGTCCGAACCCAACCTGAGTGCATCAAATTACATTGTAGGCTGGGCTTAGGTTAGCTTGATCTCAAGTTCGGTCCAGGCTCGGGCCTTAAGCCCAAATTTTAGGGTTGTGTTGACCATAAACTTAGCCCAACTTGCACCCCTAGGCCTAATGCATTAGTTTTCTAAAACTATCTATTTTACCGTTATATCTATCAATTTAGACAAAAATATATTAAAATACCCCTAAAAGAACTTTTCACTTTTAATAAAAAAAAAACCCTAAATAGGATTGAAAAGAATAAAGAAATTTTATTCTATAAAAACATTAGGTCTAATGAAGTCTAGAAGGGCAAATCTAATATTTTGAAATTTGAATTATTAATAAGTTGTAAGGATAATTTCATAACTTTGAAGTCTCTATTAACAACGGTGAATCTATATAGAGGTCAGTGTGGGCAATTACCCTCGCTAAGATTTGAAAAAAGTTTTATATAATTATAAAAATTAAGAAAAAATTTAAATGTTTTTATAATTGCCCCCACTCAAATTAAATAATAGGGAATTAAATAAAATTTGGCTTAATTTCTTAAATTGAATCATTTTTTAGAGGTGAATAGGTAAGAAATAAAGAAAAAATATAGAAGAATGACACCTATGTCTCTATTCCTATTGACAAATTATGAGGTTTGGGATTTGGAATTTTATCTTTTACCTTGTCTCTTCAAACCTAGAGATGACAATTGACATATCCTCCTGGCATCTTCAAGATCAACAGTATAAAATAATTTTATTTTCGTTTTTTTGGTGTATAAGGCTATAACATCCCAATAGAATGGATAACATTTTCTTCATTCTCATTGAATACCCACCCTCGTCACTAGATACCCTACTCCCACTGATCATAAGTCCCGGATCCACCACTGAAGGGATTTTATGAAATTAGAAGAGGCTTTTGTTGAAATCATGAATTGAATCATCAGGGAGAGGTTATTATGCTGGTTGCAGCAGAAACCCTTAACCATATGAATGGCAATGGAACTGGGATCATATTTCTCATTCTCGTCCTCGATTATGAAATTAATCCCATCCCTGTTTTTGATCTTTGTTGGGGATAAAATTTGTCTTCCATCCCCGATTCCTGACGGGAATGGGTTCCCCGCAGGGACCTGAATCCCCAATTTTTTTTAGATAACAATATTTATTTGAAAAATAAATTTACTTAAAATAAATAAAAATTTTAAATATAAATATATATATAATATAAATAATATAATAATAAATATTTAATATATATATATATACATAATCGGGGCCAAGGCGGGGTGAGGACCTCAATCCCTATCCCTGACCCCAACCCCAATCGGGAATTCTTATTAATCCCCGTCCCCACCCCACCAAAACAATCTCCATCCCATCGGGTCGGGGAAATTATATCCCCATTGGGAATGGGGAAAATCTCCGCCTCACTATGGGCTGCCCCACAGCACATTTCTGCCATGTATTGGAAACATCTCCCATGATGATATCAACGATTATGATCGGGAAATATTCCCAATGCACGGAGAGATTTGCTGTGGGGGCGGAGATGTAACTCCATGGGCATAGTTTAAAAAATCTCATAAAATTTAAGAGAAGTTATTACTCTTTATAAGCAATATTAAGCATACAACCATGGCCACAACCCACGAGAGATTGACTATAATTGGAATCAGGGCCGCTTTTCGCTTTTCCTTCCTAACATATGCGGATAGATCGACGGGGACGGTCCTTACTGGCGGTTGGAGAAGTTCTTTTCTTTGTTCAATTGATGATGACACATTCATTGTTTTCAATTCTTGGCAGCTGACAAGCATTCTTGATTTTTATTCGGGATTCATGGTGGTGTCTTTTTAATATCTAGAAGGTAAAGAATTTACATCGGCGCTCGACAGCACATTCCGACTGTGTATTGAGAACATCCCATAAAATAAATATAGAGATGTTCTCAATGCACGTTGAGATATGCATGTAAGGCACTGTTCTGATGTGACTTTTTCCTAACCTGAGTCATCCAACTGTATCAATATATAGGACCTTGGCGATGATCAACTTTTTTTATAAAAATCAAATTTTATTTTAAAAATACAAATTTTTTAATATTACAAGAAGATCCATACTTTGTAAAAATTATGGTTTTTAAAAACGAACCGGTGATTGAACCAGTCAAGGGTCCAGTTACCGGTTCGAATGGTCCGACTGTTTGACCCAAATGACCAGCCCGTTCTGACAAAAAAATAAAAAATTAAAAAACAATCAAAATCGTTCGAACAATTAACCGGCTGATTCAACAGTTTGCTGACCAAAATCAACGGTTTTAGAAGAAAACAAAACCGGTGACCGATTCCTAACCCGGTCCGATTTTGAAAACAGTGGTAAAAATTCTTATTGCCGGTCGACATCCAAAGTTTTCCTATTTTGCAGTGTTGAGTGTATCAATATTTTAAACCTATATATTGGGCTTATTGGATGAACCGAATAAAATATAATTAAAACTTCTGGGCTTATCGAGGGTATTTTAATATTTTTATCACTATATGACTATAATACATAATCAAATGTCTTAATCCGGCCGGACCCTGTGTAATAGGGTTGGACCGGACGACCTGGACCATTAATAGGCCGGTGTCGGCGTTGCTTTTTGAAAGTTTACCATTGGAGTAAAAGACTTTTCAACGACAACAACCTACGGCTTCATCGTGCTCTGCTCTCTTGTTGTTTGAAGATTTAAAAGCTCGTCCTATCTTCTTTCGCTTTCTTTCTGAGTGCTGACATTTCCTCTGACGACCGACGTTTTTGATCTGTGTGCGTGACTCTGAGAGAGAGAGAGAGAGAAGAATGGTGTCTTTAGTTCTTCTAATGAACTCGAATAAGCTGTTGCCTGCTCTTGTCTTTCTTCTCGTGCTGAATTGCTTCGTGGATTTCAGATCTCAATCCCAAGTCTTACCGGATGATGAAGGTACAACTTGATCATTGCTCTCTCCCTCTCTCTCTCATATGTCTAATCTTACATTTTGGAAAGAAATCTTGTTCCTTTTGCAAACTTTTCTCTTGCTGGCAAATTTTGCTTCACGAGTTCCTCTGAACTGTCCATGTTTCATTTGGTTTATTTTTATCAAATCGGTTGAGTTTCGGTTTTTTTTTTTGAACATTCTTCTGTTATTGTGAGCTTTATCTTCCCTCAAAATATATCTTCGAAATTCTTTGTTTTCTGGTTTAAATCCTTGCTTTCTTTTAATCGAATACAGTAATTAATTTTGGTGTTGCTTTTATTCAGTTGTTGTCGACCACACATAACCCATTATCCTTGCTTGAATTTGGTAATTTTTAATACCGAAAAACAAACTCTGATAATTTTAAGTCATTTCGTTCTTCTTATATCAGTGAGATACGAGGGTGTTTGCACGATTTTTGATTTCAGGAGATCCGATTCTGAGCTCGCTACAGTACTAGCTTAATTAAGCTAATTCAATACCTATGCTTTTTTTTTTAATAAATAAGGCCCTGCTGAGGACGGGCAAAGGAGAAACAAAGGAGTGGTCGTTTATTTAAAATGTGGTCATATAAAAATCGATCAAACTATGAAACTTTTTGAGGATTTAAAAAACTGTTTATTTTCTTGGGTTTCAAGCTAAATCCTTTAATTTTATTGTAAAACAAGATACCGAACTGAATTTTCAATTAAAAATCCAGTGCTACCTCATTAATGTTTTTTGGGATAAATAACTCAATTTATTCATACTTGTTAAAGAATAGATACAAGAGAGAGCTCTTTAATACTAAGTTGGAGATGAACATGTCAAATGTACAAACAATTTTTTACAATTTTAAAACTAAAAAAAACACTAGAAGTATAGATGGTTATTAATTATCGGCTATACAAGATTTAGTAAATAGGCATGGGAATGGACTGAAACGTTGTAACTGTGAGATTCAACACATAACCAAGTTGTTGCTTCCCCATTTCTATCCGATCACCGATCTACAATAGTTAAAAAACTAATGAACTCGCTTTAAGTATATAGTTATAGACCTCTTTTAACACCTGCAAGATCACATATTTAAGCCTAACGCCCCTAACTAATCGCCAAATCACAAGTCTAAGCCTAGGATATATAACCATCATAGGTATATATAAACAATAGAAGGATTAATGAAACTTAAAAAAAAAAAGTTTCATTTTTTTGTTTGTCATTCGGTCATTCCCCTGAATCAAAAAACCATAAACCATGGGGTATTCAATTTATCTCTCTTTCCTTCCATCCCTTCTTCCCCATCACAAAATATATAGATTACAAAATCACATTTCTTCTTGTTTGTCATCTCCATATACCCTTCCCCAGCTCTCCCTCCCTCAGTCCCCTTCTCTTCTCATCTCTCTCCTCTTGCCCATCCCCTTATAAACTGCATTACACAACCATCTACCAATTCAGCATAATTTTTTTAAGCACAAAGAAAAACTCCCCTTCCTCATCCCTCTTGCCATTAATTGTGAAAATTTTAGAAAAAGTAGAATAAATCCCTTATATTCAAATAAAATAAGGGAAATGTAAGAAATTAAAATAAAATAATCAACAATTGAGCTTTTTTGGTAAGATATTTGAACTATTGAAGTATAGGTAATCAATTTAATGTATAGTATAACTAAAATTTCAGCTGAGTTGGTTTAGGCGTTTAGCACAACCCTTCAGATGAATTGTTGTAAAAATAATAGTATAAGAAGGCTGAATGGAACTATAATGAGAGTAGATTTGGATTCACAAAACATGGTTTATAGATATCTATATGGGAACCACCTTGGCAAGTTAGAAGCCATTAACCAAACAGGCATTACCAGTTTGGTGGGATTGTTGGAAGTCATAGACTTGTAGAATGTAACAATACACCCATGACAATTCACGATTGGTGTTGGTCTTTAATTAGAAAGCAATGAAATAAGAACAAAAGCTGAAATCATTCACCTTGAATAAGGGTATTTAGTCAAACTACACCTAATGTGCAAATTGTAGAACAAATAAAAGAGAGAGTGTGTAGAACAAATAGCTAGCAAATTGTAGGCTAACCAATAGCCAAAAATAGATAAGTTCTGTATTAACATCTTGATTAGAGAAACTATTGTAGGTTAAATAATAGCCAAAAGTAGATACGTTATTCCTTAATACCTTGATTAGGGAAATTATTCAGAGGTGTAGAAAAAAATATGTTTGCAATCCTTCACCCAAATGATGGACTTCGGTTAAATTACAAGTTAGAGACAACGCAAATCTTAACAGATTTAAAATCAACAAGAAACCACCAAGGCTCCCTGCAATTTCAAATAGAAAGCAGTAAATAAAGTAAAACTTCAATAAAATGATACCCTACAAATCTGGTAAGAAAATGTCCCATTAGAAGAAAGAATGCAAAACTCTGGTTTAGTTTTTCTTTGTTACCTAGACATATAATGAGCGTTAAGCCATAAACGTTCCACGTGTTGACCTCTAACCACATCCGTACACAAACCCAATGCTTTAAGTATATAGTTATAGATTAGATTATTATTATCTTGTTAAAAATAATAAATATAACTATACTATTTAAGAATAATAAATAAGTATAGTGGGGAAGCCCTAATCGGGTTACAATTGTCAATGGGTTGGGTCTAGGTAGGATTAATCTCAAACCGATTATTTAATCAGGACAAAATTATAGACCCGACTATATTGAAAATAATAGTTGTTTATTCAAATAATTACTTAAAATTTAAATTTTGATAATATAATCTTAATAAAAATAATAGAAAAATATTAAATTATTTATATGTTAATAAGTCAAACATTTTTAACTAATATTATCTTATTTTTTATCTATCAAATTTACTATTTCAAACATAAAAATATGATAAAAATTATAAAAAATTACATACATACATACATACATACTTACTTACATAGAACCGAACTGTTATAATTGATTTGGTCCGTTTGGATCCATTAGGTAGACCCAATCCATTGATGATAACCCTAATCTAGTTCCTTTTTGCTAGTAATAATAGTTTGTTAGTAAATTATTCCTAACTAAATAAATGATTTAAAAATAAAACAAAAAAAGAATAAATAAAAATAAATAATATATTTTAATTTTATTAAATAAATAAATGTTTAGACAATATTTTATTAAAATAAATAAAAATTTATTGTATCGACAAGTGTCTCACGTCTCAAGCTTTTTGGGCATGAACAATGCTAGGATCAACATTTTCTTTATCTTGTTTCTTTGGATATATTTTATTAAGCGTCATTTACATGGACAATTAGTCACCCTCACCCCCTCTAATTTCATATAATTACTAAAGCAACCCCTATAATTTGTGTATTATTAAGACATTCCTCATAGTTTAGATTTTTCATTAGAGGCACTTTTGGGTTTTTCACTTTTTCATGAGGTTACAGATCCTGAAATACCAACGGTTTCTCATAAAAATTGGATTAACTAAACTGATTGCAATTTGCAAAGTATTGGGGTGTCTTAATGTGTAAACTATAGGGGTGTTTTCAGAGATTACGGGAGGTCTCTAAGTAAATAACCCTTTCATTAATGAATCATTTTAAGAAAAACATAAGGTAAAACGTAAAAACAAAAAAGAGAGTAAAGAAAAATAAATGAGAATCGTGACATTAAAAGAGAATGATTTGATGTGAAAAGGGGAGGGTGAAGAGAGAAGGTGGGAGAAAGAGAATGATTTGACGTGAAAGGGGGAGGGTGAAGAGAAGAGGTGGAGAAAATAGAGAGAGAGAGAATAAAAAGAGAGAAATGAGAGAGAGAGAGTAAGGAGAAGGGGTGTATTTCAAAGCAGTCAAGCCAAGAGCATGCCCCGTGTTGATTTCTATATATCAATCGCACATCTTTCCAATGCTTTAAGTATATAGTTATAGATGCCAAAAAGGCTGTCAAGCGTTGCATTATAGACATGGTGGTGGGAATGGGATCTGATGAGGGTAGATTTGGCCCTCCAGTGAAATTGCGACACGTGGCACTCGTGACAACTAGGCAAGCCCCCAGGCAACAACTTACCAAGTTGGT